ACCTTTTTTCCGGCAGCACCTATGGCTCAAAGGAGTAGGGCGCTGGCCTCATATGGAAAGGGTGGAGGGTTCAAACCCAGCCCTGGCCAAAAACTGAAAAAAAAAAAGTACCTTTTTTCAGACAGAGTCTCCAGCTGTCACCCTGGGTAGAGTGCCATGATGTCATCATAGCTCACAGCAACCTCAAACTCTTGGGCTCAAATTATCTTCTTGCCTCCGTTTTCCTATTTTTATTAGAGATGGGATCTCACTCTTGTTCAAGCTGGTATCCAACTCCTGAGCTCAAGCAATCCACCTGTCTTGGCCTCCCCGAGTGTTAGGATTGCAGGTGTAAGCCACCGTGTCCATCCAAACAAAAACGTACTTTCTTCATACCCTTTTTCTATTTTTTAATTTTTTAAATTTTAACTTTTTAAATTTTTTTGTTAAAACTAAGACACATATTGTTGCAGGCACCTCTAATCCCAGCTACTTGGAAGTCTAAGGCAAGAGGATCACCTGAATCCAGAAGTCTGAGATTGTTGTGAGCTATGATGCCATGGCACCTGGCACTCTACCCAGGGTAATAACGTGGAAGGAGCTGTCATCTAAGACAATAATGCTTTCTTCTGGAATACCTCCTGAAGGACTTCCCTGAAGATGTTTTGTAGTTAACTTTTTCCTTGTAAATTGAAATATACTCTAAAATAACTATGAAAAGTATATACAGAGTGGCCATAAAAGTTCGTGTGCAATTTAAAATAGTAAATCACCTATATGACAGTTGTCCGATAAGATTATAAAGGAGCTAAATATTGTAGTATTTAGTATACTATACAGAATGGCCATTAAGTTCGTGTGCAATTGCAGATTAAAGTTTCTCCGGGCAGGGAGGCTGAGGCAAGAGATGACTTAAGCCCAAAAGTTTGAGGTTGCTGTGAGCTGTAATGCCATAGCACTCTACCCAGGGGGACAGCTTGAGGCTCTGTCTCAAAAAAAAAAAAAAAAAAAAAAAGTTTCTCCGGGCAGACATTCCTCTGGGACTAGGTTAAGTACTTCAAGTAATTATTTGCTGATTTTCTCCCACCCCCAGTTCCAAGGCATGGTCAGGGCTCTGGCCCACTAGTAGGGGAGCTTTCCAATGAGACCTGCACCCTGGCCGATTTGTTCAGCAGAGGTGGCTCTTGGGTTCATAAAATAGTATTTTGTCCTAAGAAATAACTTGTTTACTTACTAGGGAGATCTAATTTAATGCATTTTAAGGAAAAATACTAAAACTATGAAGAAATTCTGATGTCTGAGAAAGTGAGAAAATATTTTATTTTTTTTTAGAATGTCGCCCTCAGTAGAGTGCAGCGGCATTACATCTCACAACAACCTCAAACTCTTGGGCTTAAGTGATTCTCTTGCCTCAGCCTCCTGAGTAGCTTGGACTACAGGCATCTGCCACAACGCCGAGCTATTTTTTGGTTGCAGTTGTCATTTAGCAGGCCCAGGCTCGGCTCAAACCCACCAGACTCAGTGTATGTGGCTGGCACCCTACTCACTGAGCTATAGGCACCAAGCTGAGAAAATATTTTAAAGGAATTACTTTTTAGAAGTGTGATTGGTCTATATGTATTTTCCAATTTCATGTTATCTTGATTTTGCATTAGTGTTATGCTGGCCATTTAGAATAAGTTGAGCATACTGTGTTTTATGTGTACCAACATGTATGTATTATTTCTATTTAACATGGAAAAAAAGGAACAAGTAACTCACTCACCTTTACTGCATTGCCACCACCTTTGGGACCCTGAGCCTTCTTGTCAGAATTGTCACTTCCAGAGGCTGCTCCTCCTTTAGAGAAGAGATGGCAGGCACTTATTTAAACTGCACTTTGATATTTACAGAAATGTCTAACACACAGCATGAGTTGATACTTCTGTCATAGCCTGAAGCTTCAAAAGGGAATTCTGCCAGACACAGTCCTCCATCAAGCAAAATTTTTTTTTTTTTT